AATAATATTAATATGTGATCGCGATTGTTTTGCTCAGAGGAAATACAGTTGTCTGAGCAATAGAGTTTTTGAAGAGAGGGAGGCGCGGCAGGCGCGTATAATAAGGCTAAACATTATTAAATACCCACGAGACACTTGTGACTTTATATCACATTTGCATTATTTTTAAAAAATGTTTCTTTCCTGTTAAAAATAAATATATTTCCAATCTGATATGTAATGGGGAGAAAAAAAAGTAGCACGAGTTCAACTGATGGTGGATTCGAACCGATGTTATGTGTAATCGCGTCAAAAGTTGGTGCGTGTGCCTTACAAGGTGCGCCACTGCGGCTGTATTATAACAGTGCTCTTTACTCATCTTGTCTCTATCAATCAGGCATCGATGGGCGTAAACCCTGAATAGCTTAGTCCAACTGGATGCGCTATTTGCAATTAGCCTAAAAAGACACTCCGAAATTGTCTTTTTTTCTCCCCCCTCGCAGGGGCCCCTAGTGCGCACGGGCCCCTGGGCCTGTGCCCATAAGGCCCATTGGTTAATCCGGCCCTGGGCGAGAATTACCTCAATCCTTGCGAGATTCGGCCGTACGTATACTCATTTTACCTAGATATGTGCATACTTACCTACAACATAATAGGAGAAAACAGTACGTAAAGAAAGAAATACGTTTGAACTTTCAGTTCTCAAAAAAGAATTGGCGAGAAATCCCCGGATGCCCTACTGCTTCTGCCCAGACTCCGGAGTATTCTCAGATGGTTACTTATCAATCTCAGGAGGCCACGGGACAGCATTCGGCACAGAGAAGAAGCAGGAAAAGAGGATACGTCATAATATTGAGGAAAAACGTGACGCAGACACTTTGAAACGTCAGTTATTGGAAAGCAAAGAGACGCTCCCCTAAGTTAAATAGCAATAGTAATAGTAAACTGTAGATTTAATGATTATTAAATGTCTAGCATAAATATATGAGAAGTGTTGCAGATCAGCGAATGACAACATCAAACAGACACCCGAATGAGTGATGTGTTTGTTCTGATGTAGAATTCACTGTACATATATATATATATATATATATATATATATATATATATATATATATATATATATATATATATATATATTAGTGCTGTCAAAATTAACGCGTTAACGCATGCAATTAATTTGAAATAATTAACGAGTTAAAAAAAAATTACGCAATTACCAAAGTTTTTTTTTTTTCTTTTTTTTCCTGTTGTGGCCAGGGGCAGACGCCGGGCAGTTTCCTGCTGTTTCGACGTACTTTTTGGGCCGGGCTGATCATCTTCTTATGATCTGATCGGCCCATAAAACACTTTGATTGTCATGTTTTTCTGCCTCAGTCATTGACGGTGCTGCGAGCTGTCCCGCTCTCAAAGTAAGATGTTTCTTTTCCGGACAGAGCGGTCGTGTGAAATAATCTGCAGCTCATTGGTTCTTTTCTTTATTGACATTTGGCTGACCCAATCACAAACTTCCATGTTGGGCTCTGTGTAATGTAGGTGTGTATTTGCCAAAATAGCAGAGAGTCCTGCCTGTCTCTTACGCGCCGCGGGAGAGCAGGCTTTTGCATCTGCACTCTGCAGCGGTGCACAGATCAATATATCCCTGTCTATTCTATCTAGATACCTATCTGTCCATATAAATATACTTTTTTTTTACTTTTAATCTGCACCGCGGCAACTTTCTCCTGTGCTGTTTCCTTAACCTGCAAGTCTTTATTTTACAAATGATAAAGAATGTCTGCTTCTCAAGCTCTATGAGTGTCAGTCATGTATTTTAAGATGCACTCGGTCAGAAGACAAGCGCATGAGATATCATGACATTGTGTTTTTGATCGTCAGCATGATGTAGGCTTATAGTTCAATTAAATTTATGTTTATTTATATAGCACTTTTTACAATGTAGATTGTGTCAAAGCAGCTCAACATAGTGACAATAATATTTATACAATATGGTTATAATGATATGTATGATCAAACTAGTGTGCAACTTAAGCCACTTTTTTTACATTTAGTTTTGTAGTTCGGGCAGAAACAAATATTTGTTGCATTTTTTAATGGTTTAAGTTCATTTGATTGACAATGTAAAAGCTGTTAGCTATGTTTGATGTTTCATTGTTTCGTTAAACATTTTTTAAGGGTCTCTGATACATTATTTTTATCTTTATTTTATTAATCAACATTAACTGTGTGCGTCAGCAGGCAGTTTTTGTTATGTTCATTATTTATTAGGCTCCCTCAAAACACACAGGCACCCACATTTCCAGTGTGGATTATAATTTTATTTTAATAATAAATAAATAAAAAATGTAGTTTTTTTTTTTTTTTAATTTGTCAACTCTCGTTATTTCCTATATATGGCTTTTGTGCTTTTATAGAATGGGAGTTGGTAAACCTATTCAAGGGCATGCACAGATTTTCAATACTTCATTATTATTATTATTATTATTTTCATATCTACAGTACTTGTATTTTACCTTTTTTTTTGCAGTCTACTTAGAATCCAATATAGAAATCAATGTTTTCTTTATTGGCATTGATTGTTTTGAAATTCAAATGGCATAACCATGCCTGTGTTTTTATTTCTGTAAGAAATATGGCTGTCAAGCCAGGATCTTGATGGTTTATTGTGGGTATGTTGTTTACATGAAGAAATCTGTGTTACAAGTTAAACAAAAATTCTAATAATGAATTATATTTTGAATTTAAATAGTATTTGTCTTGCGTTTACATTAATTTTACACTCGAATAGCCAAAATGACAAGTTTCAGTCTTTTAAATGCGATTAATCGCGAATAAATTTTTTTAAAGTGCGATTAATTAGTTAGTTATTTTTTTATCGATTGACATTACAATATATATATATATATATATATACAGTTGAAGTCAGAATTATTAGCCCCTGCTTGAATTTTTTTTTTCTTATTTAAATATTTCTCAGGTGATGTTTAAAAGAGGAAGGAATTTTTCACAGCATGTCTGATAATATTTTTCTACTGAAGAAAGTCTTGTTTGATTTATTTTGGCAAGAATAAAAGCAGTTTTTCATTTTTAAAAGCCATTTTAGGTAACACTTTATAATAACTACACACTATAAATCATTTATTAAGCATTAAAATAAATAAAATGCGTTGAAAACTATTAGGTAGATTTGTCACGTTGCTGATGCGAGGTGCTTCTGTCCCTGTTCTCTTATTTATATTATTATCTTAGGATTGTTATAATTATTAATAATTAAAGAACTTATAATTTAAACAGGATCTGAAAAAAATGGTTGTATCGTTTACAAGTAACAAAAATGACATAAATGTAATGGGCTTCTTGTATGAGCTTATATGCACACAAATGCACAATAAAAAGGTTAAATATATCTGCGTTGAATAATCAAACAAGTCAGGAAAACAAACGAGATTTAAGCAGGTTACTTGTGGATGAAAAATGTTATACAAACAAAAAAGACAAAAACAAATTCATGTGAACGTAAAAAAAAACATTATTTTAAATTAAGATTCATTAAACCTGCAATTTCTTTAAAGTTGTTGCGCTTTTATTGTCAGTCACATGATAACGTAAACATGGCGGATGAGGTACGATCCTATTCATACTTAACGAGATTTGGCTGTTGAGTGCCTACTCTTTTAGTCCTCGTTAAGTAAGTACTTTTTGAATTTGAGAACCTACTCATTGAGTATGCGGTTTCGAACCACCTTACCACCACCTACAGGCGATTTTAGTTAATACATGGATAACTTAATTTTTGCTATAGTTGCATATTTTTCTTTTTCTTTTTTTATTTGAAACATTATTAATAAAAAAAATAATGAAAATAAAGCATTCAATGGAAAAAAAAAATATTTAAATTGCAAATATTGTGCCTAATGGGAAAAGCAGAAGTGGAAAAGCGAATGCAAAAGGATGTTAAGGAGTATGCCATGCTAAAAAAGTTTAGGAACCGCTGATATACAGTCTAGATAACTAGGTCATACCTTTGATATAAAAAATGAACCCAAAATAACGCAAAAATAGTGTAACATATTACAATACAGAGACAAAAATATTGTAACACTGTAAACAATTACTTTCAAATTATAGAAACTAATTATATATCATGTATTACATTTGCAAATGCAACTAAAGCACAGAATAGCAATAAGTAAATAGTAAGTAACTGCCAATCATTCCAAATAAATACACTACAGGTTTTGATGTTTTTTGTAAATGTTAAAAATGTAAATGTTCTTGTAAAAACAGCAATACTGATCACGACTTCTCACTTTTTGCATACAATACAAATCAGAGGATAGTAACTTCAAAATAGGGGTCAAAGGTAGATAAATGTCATTACCTAAACATATAATTGCCAATTTTCCAATGTCCTATTAATAACTAATTTGTCCGGGCAACAAAAAAATCTTTGAAATCATTTTTCTTATTTCAGCGAGTTAAGGTCTTTTGCCCTTTGTTGAGCAGAAATGCTCTCTAGTATCTGGCATGTCCTGCCCCCTTCAAGACACTTCACATTGGATGTGATTGAGCTCAACCACTCTCACTGGTCAAGAAGTGCTGAAACAAAACGCTATTGTTTTTTTTTAAAGGGGAGGGGCTACACTATGCCCCACCCTCTCAATGTTTGAATTAAAATCACGTCAAACAGCAAATAAAAATATTTGCTTTCTGAAATGTTGTGTGGTGAGTTAATGTTTGCTTTTTGAAATGTCATTGTGTTGTGAGCTTAATATTGTTTTCTGAAATGTTGTGGTGTTGTGCACTACTGGGCCACCTTACTCCAATGTTCATTTCACCTTAAAACTGCACTTAGCTGTATGTATTGCTAAATTTTTAGAGGAGCGATTTTCCAGTAAGTCCTAAATATGATATCTGATTGGTCTTAGCCAAACCAGACAGCATGTTTCCCACAAGTATTGTTAATAGAAATCTCTTCCTGTGGCCTGTTTTGTTTTTTTACTTGCGCATAACTCACTCACCAGCTCCAATAACCCGCTCAATGGTGATACAACAGACATCAATCTCCTTGGCAAACTCGTGTACAGCCTGGTTGGGATCTTCATAGGTGTGGGGATCGATATACGTGCGGACTGAAGGGAATTTAACTGTGATAAAGAGAAAGTGAGAGAGAGAATAAAAGACAGAAGGAGAGACAAAGAGGAAGAAGTGTTGATTGTTGGCTCTTCACAGCTCTCTGGTTTGGTGAAGAAACGTCAGGAACGAGTGAAGAGGTTGTATCTCTAGAGACCATGTTTGTTCTTCCCTGTTGTGTTAAGCACAACATATTGGTGGATTGCCTTGGGACTAATCAGAATATGGCAACATGCTTTTGTGTGTAGCTGTATTATTGGCTATGTGGTTTGTGTGGTTGTAGACTAATGGGCTGGTGAGGTTTTCAGGTTTCAGATGGATGTGCCAGTAATGGGAAAGTTACAAAAAGTATAAGGTATATTTGATTTCTCTACACACATATCTTTATGTGAGTACCTTTTACCCTTTATGTTAACCTTTACAAGGTTTACTTTTAAAGTTATAGGAAGGAATATCAAGGTCTCATAATGCAATCCAAAATTGTATTTATGGATAATTTACAGATATTTTTACAGTGTGGATATAATATATAAAATGTACAAATAGCTGAACAATTATGAATATATGTGGGTAAAATGGTTTGGTTTACGGGGTCAGAAATGTGTATAATAGTATTGGTATGACAACATTGAGGTGGTTCATGAGGACATAACTTATGTCCTTGTAATTCAAAACACATAAAAAACATACATTAAGTGTAATTGTATTGTTTACACATTTTTGTTTTTTACTTATATTTTTAGAATATATGTGTAATTGTATTTATTGTAATCTCTTTTTAAAATTCTACTTTTTGTATTAATATTATATGTAAGGCATCTAGGATCTGAGTGTAATGCAAATCCGATTCTCTGTATGTCATACATGTGATTGAGTTGACAATTAAGCTGACTTTGACATTGACATGGTGTCTCATGACATTCAAACTTTGCTACAGGTGTTGTGTAAGGGTAAAGTTTAGGAGCTTTTTTACAGTTTAAATAAATAATGCCTATGGAGAGTCCACCAATAAATGTGTGTGTGCAAGCTTATTTCTATTTTACACCTCACGGAGGACTTTTAGATAATGCATCATCAACATCCAGGGTGTTGTGAAACAAAGCTCATTGATGCTGAAGTGGCCTGACGTCGGGTTGGCCCTCTGAACTGGAGCTGATGATAGGATGAGGCTGATCCACTGAACTCTGGCTGAACTCAAACACACATCTGTCTCTCTGTCTGTGTGTTTATGTGTGTGTCTGTGTATTCATGTTATTATATTTTGGTGGGGACTTAATAATGAATGCACACAAACTCGTGGGGAATTGGGTCACTGTGGGGACCTAATTTAAGATTGTATGTGTCCGTCCGTCCGTCCGTTTCTTCCTTCCATCCATCAATCCATCAATCCATCAATCAATCAATCAATCAATCAATCAATCAATCAATCAATCTATCTATCTATCTATCTATCTATCTATCTATCTATCTATCTATCTATCTATCTATCTCTGTCTGTCCGCCCGTCCCTCCGTCCGTCTGTCCGTCCGTCTAGTCATCTTCATTTTTAAAGCACTTTTACAATGTAGATTGTGTCAAAGCAGCTTTACATATATAAATAGCTGTCTGTGTGTCTGTCTATCTCTATGTCTATCTGTCTTTCTGTCTTTTTTTTTTTTTTTTGTCTGACTTACTGTGCCCATTGTGGAAGTGCATCTTCTCCTCATCTGGATCTTGCTTGGCTTTGCTGTATCCACAACGTCTGTAAACAAACCAAAAGAATAAGACTTGCGTTATTCTTCAGATCCCTCGAAAAGCTGACATTTCCTCTCACTTTATGTGCAATTTTACTAATTCAATTGGCCTGACAGACAGAGGGAATTGTAAACAGAGTGTATGCGTGTCTGGTAATGGTTTTATCTGCTTTCAGCACAGGAATCCTCTGGAGAGCACTGTCCAAACACACACATTCTGCATGACAGCAGTGTTAACGCAGTCTTCAGTGTTTAATCTGCCAGCAAAGTGTGTTTGCGAGCAACTGAACATCCAACAGTGAACTGCAGAAACAAGACCAAATCCACTTCACATCTGACACTATAACGAAGCTACAAAACAAGGCTTTTTCATGGTACTAGTACTTATTTTTACACTAATATACACATATATATATATATATATATATATATATATATATATATATATACATTTATACATATATACAGTATATATATAGTACTAGAACATACACTCAATGGTCACTTTATTAGGTACACCTGTCCAACTGCTTTTTAAAGCAAATTTCTAATCAGCCAATCACATGGCAGCAACTCAATGCATTTAGGCATGTAGACATGGTCAAGACAATCTGCTGCAGTTCAAACCAAGCATCAGAATGGTGAACAAAGGTAATTTAAGTGATTTAATAACAGGTAATAATAGGAAATTTAAGTGAACAGGAGATTTGCATCATTGATGTGGAGCTGACAAATCTGCAGCAACTGCATGATGCTATCATGTCAATATGTAGGCCAGTGTACCAGTGTATTAATAAGTGTATTTCTTAGTTGCTTACATCTTATTTACTAGTGCTTATTCTTCAGTGACTACTGTTAATTCTGTAGATACTAGTGTGTTTTGTAAAGTTACAAGGACTTATTCATTAGATTCTAATTTTGATTGATTATATATTAAGTATACAGCATTAGATATAATTGGCTCAAATTTAATTATACTTTGTTATACTTCATTAAAAAACTAAGAACAAGTACCAATTTTCAGATTAATAGTCTGTTTTCAAATATTGTTAGTAAGCATTCATTACACATAAGTGCTTATTAATTAGCGACTGCAGTTACTAATTAGATAAATGAATATGCATACAATGGTCATCTTTTTGTAATATTACTTGTAACAAATCTTATCTTACGTCAGATTTTTAAACAGCTTTTTAAATACTTTTTATGGTATGGAATTTACTAGTAAATAAACTCTCATACATTCATTTATTTTCTTTTTGGCTACGTCCCTTTGTAAAACTGGGGTTGCCACAGCGGAATAAACCACTAACTTATCTAGCACATGTTTTATGCAGCTGATGCCCTTCCAAGCGCAACCCATCACTGGGAAACATCCATACACACTCATTCACACACATACATTACAAATAATTCAGCCTACCTAATTCACCTGTACCACATGTCTTTGGACTGTGGGGGAAACCGGAGTACCCAGAGGAAACCCAAGCGAACACGGGGAGAACATGCAAACTACACAAAGAAATGCCAACTGACCCAGCCGAGGCTCAAACCAGTGACCTTCTTGCTGTGAAGCAAACATGCTACCCACTGCGCCACTGCACCGCCCAGTAAATAAACTCTGTTCATGTAAAAAAAATAAATAAATAAAATAATATTTCAAACAACTACTAGTAGCAAATATGTGCTAATATTGTGCTAATATATATATAAATACAAACTAGTGTCTAGTTAATACTACTAGGTAATAAATTAGTATTATGTTTAATAGTTACGAGTACCTAATGCTTCAATTTACGTCTGCTGAATTTGACTGAATTGATGGCCTTTTATTCATTGTAACATAACAACAACAATAACAACAATAATAATAATACAACTAACTAACCTAATGTAACACAAAAGGGTGTTTTGACAGATGACTCTTCAGGTTGATTGGCATCTGACTTGAATCACTGCATGGCAATTGTTTTTGCATGTCAACTCTAAGCAATTGGGACATATAAAACATCAATCCATAGATCAATCGATCAGTCAGTCAGTCATTCAATCAGTCAATCAATCAACAACTAACCAACCAACAACCATCCAATGATCCAATCATCCAACCAACCATTCATCCATTCATCTATCCACCTAATGACCAACCAACCAACCAACCAACCAACCAACGATCCAATAACCTAACCAACCAACCAACCAACCAACCAACCACCGTCCAACAATCCAATAATTTAACCAACCAACCAACCAACCAACCAACCAACAACCCACCCATCCATTAATCCATCCATCCATCCATCCATCCATCCATCCATCCATCAATCCAACCAACCAATAAACCATCCATCCGAAAAAAAACATCCAATCACCAATAAACCAATCAACAAAGCAACTAACCAACCAACCATCCAGCCAGCCAACCATCCAACCACCAATTAACCAACCAATCACAGTAAAACATGGATATGTTTCTTTTGCATTAACATTGTATATGCATTTGAGTTTCACCTGACTCGCTAAGTTTTGTGGCAGTGAGTTAACTTTTATGGGTTTGAGCTTCTGTCCTAATTTGACTTGTTTAATGAACACATTGTGTTTTTAATTATTTGATAATAATAATTTGTATGAAAAAGAATAACAGTTTCTAACCTCCAGTGTTTATTTCAGTTAAACTTGCAACAAATTTTACATACAGCTATGTTTTTGCTAAACTAGCAGCGCGTTTTTCAATGAGCCTGTGTTGAATATTCTTAGCCAGTGTCCTCGACTCACCCCAGAATCTTCACCCCATCACCTTCAAATCCCTGCAGCTCTCTGACAGCCATACTAACAGGCCTGTTCAGTAGGAGCTTGTTCTCCGACAGCTCGCTGTAATAGCCTTCTGATGGTGTCCTTGTAGCTCATTCATGAATAAGTCTTGACCTAGTAAGGCCAAGAAGGCTATTAACAACCCTGATTGCTTCCTGGTTCAAAACCATCTGTGACATGAAAGGTGACAGAAGTGTCAAGGCTGCGGCCCACATGATCCACTGATACACCCTTTAAGAGTAATTGCTTGAAACCGTCGCACCCTTGAGAACATCCTAACCCTTGCTTAAACAATCCCGGCTGCCTTTCAAGTGGCCATCTTGAGGCTCAAACAAAATCATGCTCACTGATGTTTCTTTAAGGTCTTTGCCTCGTGCCAGTCATCAATCTCAACAAGGTCTTGACAGCAGTGAATTAAAGGCTGCGGTTCAGTTCAAGTGTGAAGGTTGAGGAGAGACTTAAGGCGCTGATATGCTCAGTCAAGTTCTTGTCCTGTTTAACTAATTATATTACAACTTAACACTTATAGTGTTAGTAAGCATCTTGATGTTGCACTAGATTAATATGTAAATATATGCTGTGCTGTTCCCCCATTCAAAACCATTCATTTTCCTTCGACTCTATATTTTCGAAGTCGCCACAGCTGAATGAACCGCCTATTCCAGCAAATGAAGAGTTCATATAAAAAATAAAAAAAATCTTTAAAAGCGATCTGCAATTTATTTTTAAAATGAGCAATTTTTGCAAATGAGGCAAAAAATAGGTGCCTTACATTGCCTTTAAAGTGAAATAACTAAACAAAAATATTGGAGGCTGAGAAAAATGCAAATTTTAGAAGAAAATTTCAGATGGCACTTAAAGGTTTTTGTATCTGAACTCTTCATATGTTTTACGCAGCGGATGCCCTTCCAGCCACAACCCAATTCTGGGAAACACTGATACATACATTCACACCCTTATACACTACATATTTACAATTTAGTTTATCTAATTCACTTATACCGCATGCCTCTGGACTGTGATGGAAATTGGAGCACCCAGAGGAAACCCATGCAAACACAGGGAGAATATGCAAACTCCACACAGAAAGGCCAGTCAGGACTCAAACCAGTGACCTACTTGCTATGGAATGGTTGTCAAATCAGTTAAAATAAATGACCAATCTATCAAATAATACCTGTCATGAGTATAACCGCAAAATGGCATAGAATAGTGCCTAAGTATGCAATTTTGGATGCAGCTTTGGATTAGACTTTAGCATCTCACTCAAAAAAAAAAATAAAAAAAAAATATATATATATATATTAATTTCCAATTTATTGAAGCTTACTCTTTTGAGAGAAACATTGTTATGTTCTGGACAAGGGCTGTTCTGGAGGATCACCAATACTGCATGTTTTGGATGACTTATTTGCCTGTCACACCCATTGCAGGTCTTTTAGTCTCTGCTAATGAGTCTGAATCAGGTGTGTTTGGTTAAGGAGACATGTAACACGTGCAGAGCTGGTGGTCCTCTAGGAACGTGGTTGAGAAACACTTCTAGACCAATATGGCTAGGTTCTATTCTTAGTACACAATAAGGCTGTGTGATTAATCGAAATAGAATCACAATTGCAATCTGAAACATTGCACTTAACTAATTGCAAGATTAGCAAGAGGTTGCAAAATGAAATATATTTGTATTATATAATTTCCCATGTGTGACAGTCTTACTAGCCAATTGAGTGAGCATACTTTCGCTCTGCCCAATCAGGTAGTTTGTAAGGGCTGTCTTAATGACACTCAATCTAGTAACAAGCCACAACAAAGTTTAATTTCCGACTTGTTTGCAGCTATGACACTGTATGAAAAAACATCACAAAGGCACCAGGAGATAACTAATGCCATAACACACTACTGTTTGCTTTAGAAAATGATGAGTGTTTAATTTCTGAATATTTAGAATCAAATTTTGAAAAAAAGTTGGAGTAAGTTCATATCTTTTCAGTTCAGTTTTCAAAAACAGGAGCACCCGGCGGAAACCCACGCGAACACAGGGAAAACATGCAAACTCCACACAGAAATGCCAACTGACCCAACCGAGGCTTAAGCCAGCAACCTTTTGCTGTGAGGTGAACGTGCTACCCACTGTGTGACCACGTCGCCCTCTATTATTTATTTGTTTTTTATTTTATTTTAATATATGCAATTGCAATAT